GAAATGTCTTTCGGTCTCCCTTGACCCAAGTTAAATTGAACACACCCACAGTGCACATCAAATAGCTCTCATGCCACAGGCCTGTGTGCTGTTGTGAAGTCAAAGGACACCGGGGAGGGAACGCTGCTTTCTGGGTTGGACAGTGATTGTACTCAGTGGCACTCGTACCATGATGTTCCATTGTGGAAAAACACTGAGCTCTGTTTAGTGGTTGTCTTTTTATTCCCTCACAGTTCTCATGGATGCTATGCTAGCGTTTCTATGGAATCCGCCCACTCACTGTACATGCAGCCAGGCGGGCAGACAGGAAAGCAGCTGAAGTTTTCTGCAACGTGGCCCTGACTGACTGTTTATTAGACAAGAACTTTGACACCATCAGAGCAGGAAGTTCGGCCTCGAGGGAGCTCGGCTCTGAGAAAGATGAAACGCAGGGTGAAGCGGATGAAATATGCATGAAGACTGTATCTGTCTCAGCTCCTACTACTGTATGCAGCAGCAGCAGTAGCAGCACTGTTGCAGGTTTTTTGGGAGATAATGGACGGCTGTGACTGCTGTGAGGTGGCACAGTTCAATACATCGGTAATTCCTCGTTGGGACGAGGCCAAACACATCAGGATGTAGACGCTTATATCCAGATTTCTTTGAAGGAATTAACTTTATTAGTGTCCATTAAGTTAATAAATGCCACATGTAGCATTTATCATCAACAGCAGAACAGTTAACGGGCGCACTTGTCTTGAGAGAGGACTGTTAATGTGAAATATACACCATTTATTTTTCATAACTGTAGTTAATGGTTTTAGAAAACCAGAGAAGTTGGTAATCTGGGAGTAAACAGTCTTTAAAGTTCGACCAAAGTTGTGGGTAGTCTCAAAGTGTTGATATTTTTCAGACATAAAAAATGGGGAATTGAACTTCCTCCTCTCGCACATGATGCGTCACTATTAATGAGCCAGGGGTCCAAAGCAAACGCATATTATTTTGACAGTTTGGGAACCCCCTGCTGTACGGGCCCAAAGGCCAGCCATGCTACCTATTGATCTGTGTCCAGATCAAAGGAAATTATCAACTCAGCACTTTCCTCAGCAGCACTGCTTTCCTCTCATCTCCTCTTGAACTAGAAGATGCTGATTTAAGCAGCAGCTCTCGTCTTCAGGCTGTTTCATATTCAGTTGCTGAGAAGTAGTTTCTCTGTGTTTTGGTTGAGAAATTATAATATCATACTCGAGGGGATGTTACGGTTCTTGTTTTACTCTTTCTAGCGATATTTCAAGTCATTGTCTCTGTGTTAGCATGGTAGTCAATAGCCTCAAACACAATACATAGAAGCATATACAGTACATACCACTTACAGAGCTGCTGAATCTTAGCTGCAGGTTCAGGTTCTCCATTCCCACAGTGCAGTTTGAACCGTTTAAAGTCTGCTAATATTTGTACAGCTGTAGGCATTCGAGTGTGTTTGGCGTCTCGGCTTTGCTCACAACTCTCACAAATTGCTACTGACGGCAGAAAATTTCACACGTTTGCAGCATTGTTTTTGGGTGAAACTAGGCAGCAACTTTCCTGATGCAGCGTCGGGGAAGGAGGTTTGTGTTTTTCTTGTGTACTGGTTTCAGATCCGTCCAGACTAAAGGGGGAACCCAGAGGGAGAACAGAGACCGTCTCACAGCATGAGGCACAGACTAATCCCATGCTCTTCCTGTTTCACTTTACCCGAGATAATGAGTTTGCACACGGCGCTTCCTTAGATCCAGGTGCTGTACAGATGCTTCAGAGCTGCCAGCGTGGTGAAGCACAATTAATCCATTAATATATGCACGTAAGGTCACGTGTTTGCCTTTTACACAAGTTCCTACTGCAACATTATTCTCTGAAATAACAGACTTATATTAGAGTGAAATGGATCTACAGTATTGTATGTTTATTTAGTAACAGCAGTCAGTAGCATCAACATCACACCAACAGACACACAGTATAATCTCTGCTTTCATTTGTAAGAGGCTTATTTCCAGTGTTCTTGATACACTTTGATCAGTATCCAGCCAGCGTCTCATGGTACATGTCAGCATGGTTACATAAGATTTTAGTTTTAAATTAGACTCAAATAAAAGCTAATTAAATTGTGTTTCTTGTATCCATCCATCTTTAAATACCGGAAACAGTTTCAGCAGCTGCTAATATTGTTCACAAACATGTTGTTGTTTTGCTTGGCTTGTACCTTGGCCAGTTCATCTTTATTTTATATGTTGTATAATGTGAAAAACTAGGTTCCTCACTAAAGTTAAATAAACCATCCACTCCTTACTGCTGTAGTTCTGCATGCTCAGTGAAATCACAGCTTGATCCTTGAAAATGGAGGCAGGAGGCTTTGTTTCTGTGAATTGTAATGGATGTTTATACTTATATCCATATTTAATTGCATGTTTATTTTTAGGGTTAGGTCAGTGCCACATTAGCTGAATTTCTTTCTGCACATGAACGCAACTTGACACTGAATTTGTAATGCTACTGTATCTTTACAATTATTCTAAATTTGTGAGCAGTTGTCTCAACATTTGTATTTATAAAGAGAGTAGGCTCTGATTACAGACCATGGAAAAAGCAATATATTTAGCCTGACACTCGGGTGAATCATCATCACTGCACATGTTACATTTGCTTTCATATCCCGTGTTGTGTCTGTGTGGAGAGTCTGACTCAGTGCTTTTTCCTGTGGACAGAGGGAGGAAAAAGGAAGAGAGCAAGAAGCAGGCGGCTCTCAGGAGGTGCAGCGCGCCTGGCCTGCTGCTGGTTTCATCTGAGAAGCCTCTTGTATCACACAATGACAGGAATCCCCCGAGAGCCACTTCAACTAGTGAGCCTCCACAGAGCCGCGTGACTTTATGTTCATTAGTTATTAATGATTGGTCTGTTTCATACTCCAGGGGTCTGTTGTTTCCTATTTCCCACTTCACCCTTTCTGTAAGTGTTCACTTTTGGCAGTATGGAAGCTTCTTAGAAATGTCCTCATGCATAAGTTGGCTATTTTTATGGCTTGGAGATGGTCAGTATACTGGTAATTACTGGTCCCTCATTGTGGTGTTTGTGAGTAAGAGAGCTGGACAGGAAGTGCAAAGATGGTTCTTCGCTCGTCCTCTGAGTATATGTTCTATATTTGGACATGTGTCCCAGTGTATCTGTGTTATCTTACCATTGGGGAAGTGATATACTGTTTGCTGCACTGGTGACTCCTGCAGGCTGTTCTGGGCACCTGTACGGAGCGGGACGCGTGCTACGTCCTCCTGGTGAAACTCCTGGTGACACCATGTGTATGAAAGGAAGTAAAACGCTGTCTTCACCCTTCCCAAGATGTAATCCCCCCCCCCCCCCGAAATGGTAAATCATTTTTAGCAATGCTAGCAGTATGGCCTTGTCTTCTAGAGCCACAGCTCTGTTTCTTCTTGACAGATATCAGCTGATATCCAGAGGAGGAATCCTAATGAATTTGGAGATCACCTGACTCTTTATCTGGTGCCAACAGCAGCACAGTGTTTTCACAGTGACATATCATTCATATCCTGACGTTTCACCGAGCGTCAGCCTCATACTGATCAATTCTGAGTGAAATGTCTCGACAACTATTGACATATTTGGATGGCTCACCGCACCTGCCCTTTATTATAATATGAATTCTTAACTTGTGTGGTTTACAGTAAAGACAAATTGGCTGTAAAGTTTTTGAAATATTGCTCCTGTGTGTTTATTCAGCCCTGCAGCCTTCATACCAGGTAGACTGGAACAGAAAACAAAGCCGCCTTTGTGTCCATTTCTTTCCATGGAAGAGACAAAATTAAACAAAAGTTAGATTGTTGACAAGAACTGTGTGTCACGACAGATGATTTCAGTAGATCTCTCCTAAACCACAGTTACCACACAGGTACAATATATGTGAGCGCTGGTGGCGAACAGTCACGGGGACGGTGCTGTGTTTGGTCTCCAGTGGCTCCGGCAGAAACATCACAGAATCAGTGTTGACAAAAACCCGCAGTGTCCATGAAATCACACTCAGAATCTGTATCTGCAGCAGGGTGTGAATCAGTGCGCAGTGTCTAAAAAAAGCTTTCTGAACTATTCCTCAACCCTTTGCAGTGCTCTCTTTTTTAAAAAGCAGTTTTTGTGGCGGTGTAAGGGTGTGGTCAGACCAAGTTCCTCCGTCTACCACTTGCCACAAACTGGAGCCCGTTTCATCGCAGCCCGGAGCGCAGTACGCTCTCTACCCACATGCTCTATGGCCTTGGCATGCCACACGTTGTTGGACCCAAATTAGAGCAGTATGGGAGCGCATACGCTGAAAACCCCTCCACAGATGATCCACCCACATATTAAGAAGTGTGTCTGAGACAAAGACGGGCTTTGTCAGCGTTGGTAGCTGCTGTTTGTGCCCAAACAGCCTACAGGTCATGTGGAAATAAAGAACTCATAACTATGTTAATATCAATTTTTATTTGTATTTGTCAGAATGTACTTCAGTCCTCAGATGCAGAGCACAGAAACAGCGCAAGGGCTTGCATCATACAGCTGTGTTTTTCAATTTAAGAATACAATGCAACGGTTGTGTCTCGTCTACAAACCGCACACACGTGGTCACAGGTTAAATCGAATTGTAAACCACTGAAGGAACCTGCAATAATGAGGGTTTAGTCTGTGTGATCAGTCATAATAAAAACCGTTAGCCTCATCCAGACCGTGCATGGCCCAGCAGTCTCAATGCCACATGTTAGAGATCTAATCCTCCTCCTCCTCCTCCTCCTCCTGGTCCTTTCTCCCTTTCTTGCTGTCTTTTCTTCACAAGTGAGGAAAAGTCTGGAAAAACTGTGAGAGGAGAAAAACATACCCATGGCTGAGACTGTGTCTCTCCCTTCCTCTTGGTATGAGAGAGAGTGAAAGAGGCACCGGCGCACACACACACACACACACTCAGCACAGCGGTTGGCAGCCTGCAGTACTTCCTCATCCTGACTAGTTGTGTTGAGGCAGACAGCCGTTGCTCCTGACCCTTCGTTTTTCGCCCTCACACTCTCCGTGGAGCTCAGCGAAGGGTGAATATTTTTGGTCACTTGTACTTCAGGCGGAGGGCAGGCTCTGGGACAGCATCCAGTACCGTACGACACGTGAGTGAACTGCACCACGGTTTTAGCTTTCCTTTTTTTTTGTGTGACACCATTCTGCCTTCTCCCTCTCTCGCTCATTACTCACTACCTTAAACTCTCAGATGATACTGGATCATGTTGTTTTACCTTCAGTCATTGTTTTCCAGTTTAATGGGGACAATGGAGTTTACTCAGGGTTGAAGGTGTGATTGATGACTGTTGTATTGGAATAGGAAAGTTTGAAAGAGGAAAAACTGGAGTCATTTTATAATAGGTTTAGGAAGAAAGTGACTGAGAACATCTGCTGATGATTTTTCTGCCAGGTTTCTCACATTTCTGTCAAACACTGAAAGTATATTTGTGAAAGGGAAAGTGGCCTGAGCTAAACTTTGTTGTGCTCTGAAGAACTAGTATTAACACAAGGTTTTACAACAGTATTTAACCTGAGCTGACTGTATTTAAGCTTAAGGCATCCTCACAGTTTGTTATGTTATGGCCAACCAACCACTGGGCAAGACCGGAAAGTGTTCAAGAAAGGATGTGATGACACATTTAACTCTGTCTTATATCCTTCAACAGTCACTGCAGGCGGGAGACTACGAGCTGCTCAGTAGTTGAATCACTTGTGTTGTTGCTTTTGGTGCTTTGTTGTTAGTTGTAATGAATCTGAAATAGATGTGGTGTAATTCAAAATAGATAAATGTTTGAATTTGTTCAGAGTAAAATAATTGATTGTAGTAAGGCAGTGCAGTAAACCCTGAGTGCACTCTGTCCAATTAGGTGCCACCACAGGAAGGCAGCAGGTTTTGCAGCAGGTCTGCGGTTTCCCCTCTGATCACTGATCTTTTTTTTTTTAAATGTCTGTATAAATGGCAGCTACAGCGCGTTCGCTCTCATACACAGAGTTCCTAGTGATGGGAGGGAGCTCCGTATCCCACACGAACACATGAACTGAACATTTGAGGCTGTGCTCACTGGCCCGTCCTGCGCTGTGCCCCAGCAACCTGCATTTAAGGTCAGAGAATGGTCAGGACTGGTTGGCTTGGATTTCTCTCCCTAATCTGAGGCTAGTTGAGGTTGCGGCAAGCTGAACTGGCCAAGTTACATACTCGTCTAATGAACGTGTACATACGAGGTATTTTCTCTGTAACTGTTATGTCGTAGAGTAATTACTGGTTTTGTCTCAACTTCTGTCCTATTTTTTGCTGAGCACGAGTTTCTTCTGTAAGTTGCACTGTAAAATAAATGTGGATCTTTTTTCAGTAAAACTATGAATACCACTTTTTCGTAGAAGTAAATTATTGTAATTCTTGACGTGATCTTTTCCATACCTGTCATTGTGAACGTAATGGATCAGTTAAAGCTAAATTAAAGGGTAGAAAAAGAGCGGTGTGTGTGTACATCTTGATTTGAGCTATTTCCAGTGTTTTATTTAATTCTTTTAGTTTATTAAACTTTTATATTACCAGGCAAGACAATGGCAGCCTGTAGGGGGGAAGGAGGGGGGTGGGCAAACAGAAGCAAACAGACAAAAACAAAAGGAGAAGAAAGAAAACGAAGCAGAGTGACTAATGACTCGTGTATCATGGTTGATCTTGGTTGTGTGATGAAAGTGCATCAGCCTGTCCCTCAGGGTTGTGTCAGATCAGGTGACATGCAAGTGACTGTTTCACCCAGACTCAAACTGATAACTGTTTTCAGTTGGTATTGGATCCTCGTGCTTTCTCCTTATCTCATCGCAGCAGTCCAGAAACTGCTCTGCTGCTCCTCCGTCCCATGTTCAGCCTGACATTCATGTTCCTGTTCTTGGAGGCAATGTAATTAAAGGAGATGACAACCCATTACTTATGGCTGTGGTGACTACAAATTACATTTGCTTTTCTATTTTTGTATTTTTCAGAGCAAATTCCACTTTTAGCTTTTTTTTAGCAGCAATGTTTAAGGCACGATGTCGTCATCCGACATGCTTGTTCTGTCCATCTGAACAGAGGTGAAGTTGAAGTCAGTAAATGTTTGTCATTTTTGTCAGGTGAGTTTCTTTTGAAGAGAGATACCCAGGTCACACGCTCTGCCTTCATTCTAGTTCAACTATGTTGCGTGTCTCTCAAAGACATTTTGGTTTCAAAACTAGGTCGCTGTAAAGTAAATGGGACGCACTTCTGGCTCCTGAGAATCGTATCTCTGCAGAGGAAAATGGAGAGGTCGTATTTGCATAACTGAGTCCTGCAGAAGTCCAAAGAAGGTGGATTAGACTTTGATCCACAGGCTTTTGTGTAAAGGTTAACATTTCAAACATTTCACAGTTTCCTGATTTAATTTGTTCCACAAAAATGTTTGGTTGGTGCTGAGTTCCCTTCAGTTTAAAAAATGAAAATAATATCGCCTCTGGGGGGACATCCTCAATTTTGCCTCGCTTCCTCATTTAGCCCACACCAACATCAGAGCAGGTTTAGAAGCGAGTCAAACGCGTGTTTGGCAGCGTGAGGTGACGTAGCCGCGAAAGCTGATCTAAAGGGAGGTGAGCCTCGCAGCCGAGGTGTTAGACGACCAGGCCGGGCAGTTAGTCACAGGATCTCGCCGAGGGAGGTCTTAGTATCATATGATGGAAGCAGCAGGGAGACACATGCTCTCATACAGGAAAAAAACAGAGTGCATACAGTGTGCTTTAATCAGATAAGTCCTCAAGCACCCACAAGCATTCTCGAACTTACTAGCTTGGTAAAATGTCCCGACCTGGGAGTCCTCTGTCGGGAACATCCTGACAAATGACTGATGTTTATATTCTTGGAGTTGGCTGGTGCCCCCACTGCTCCTTTTACCCATGATATCATTATTTGTTGGACTGCCTACCAGTGGTCACTGCAGATCTTTATTGCTGCATCACTTGTCCTGCTTCACATGCAACATTTTCAGCCTCTCCACCGAAATACATCAGTAGAAACAGATTAAAGCGGAGGGATAAAAAGTGTCCTCCCTGTCCTGAGGTAACTTGCGTACATGCTTGCAGAGACGAGAGGGTTTCCCTGTGTCTGTCAGAGCAGAAGATCCGGTTACCTCAGCTCCGATCAATGAATCAGCCGCTCCACTGGGAGCTGCAGAGCTTTTTACCAGTGCACTCTCTCCTTGGTTGAGTGCACTCCACCATCTCTCCATTTCCTGCAGCTACTCTTTGTCCAGATGAGTACATTTCCGTCTGGACATCACATGCGCACCTTTAACAGACTGTGTGACCACATCCTGTTGGAGAAGGGAAAAATCAAGCCAGTATTGTGACATGTTTTAACTCCTCACAGACGAATGGCAGCTGTGAGTGTAGCTGGCTGCATACCTCCTCCTAGATGTGTGGAGATTGTGCTGTGTGCTGGTCAGTGCTGCTGCTTTGAACAAATCAGATAAGAGATTTTGTTCTGTCTCCTCCCTCTAGCAGGAAGTAGTTCAATGGTGTGGCTACTGAATTAACCTTAGCTGCCCTCAGAAGCAGCTCTTAGCTTGTATATTTTGGAACGGCCACAAATGTCAGCAGTCAGCGTTAGCATAATGTTCTTATTCACACAAAGCAAAGGTGCCGCCTGTTATTCTGTGCTTCGCCTGTAGCTTTACGGTACTGTGGTATTTGAAGGGAACAATTCTGGAGTCACAAACATGGCTAAATGTTTTATTCATAATATGGTTGTTGTAAAACATTTGAACCACTTCATGTTTTTGTTTTTCTACATCCTTTTGTCAGTGGTGACAATGTCCTGGAAATGTTTAGATCTACACTGCCCCACAAAGGAAGGAGACAGAAACTTCAGCTTTGTATAAAATTGATCGTTTGTAACGTCAGAAACCATTTTTACACCATGTCAGTTGTGTTGTTGTTGTTGTTGTTCTCAGAGACATGTTTGTTGTTCTAAGTGATTCTTTTGTTGATGGAAAATCACGTTCATATTTCAGTAGTGCGTCTTGGTGCTTTTGGGGCAGACAGTGGATATTGTGGTAAAGACAGAGCAACTTTCCACAAGACAAAACTGACCATCTGTGTTGGAAGAATCTGCAGGGGAGCTGTTCTGCAGCGAACACACAGGAATATTAATGCCGTCATGTGTCTTGAGAATAACTGGGGCAGATATTGTGATTGTGATATATGGGTACGATTTCAGTTGGAGTGGTCATTTTTGCATTTTATTTTCATTGAAAAAATGTTGATGATGTGATTTTTGTTTGTTCTTTACCAAACAAACCTTTTCCTTTCCGTCTGGAGAATATGACCTGTTGGCCGTAGCGTCTCAGTAGCACCACAACGCTTCATTTATGGTCTGTTGTGACACATTTTACCTTTTATCGAAAGAGTTGCAGCTCCTGCGATTTGGATAATGCACAATTTCGATGAATTCTTCAGCCCTGATGATAATGATTCAGAAGCTTGATATTTTACGGTGTCCTCTCTTCTCTGGACTTCTCTCAGGTGTAGTTAGCTGACACGCAGCCATGCTGAAAGCGGGCGCCACCAAGGTGGGGCTGCCCAAGCCGGGACTCCAGGAGCGAGCCAGGCAAGCCTCCTTGGTCCCCTCCTCCTCCTCCTCCACCTCCACAGCAATGAAGACCACTAGATCCTCCAGCCTGCTCGCCTCAGACCAGCGCCTCAGCAGGGTCAGTCACAAGTGCACGCCAATCTCACACTTACTAACGTAAATTTCTATGAGTGATGTCGGTTAAATGAAATGTCTTCAGAACATTATTGTAACCTTATTAGACCCATGGTGTTGGTATTAACAGCACTCGTGTTTCTAGCTGAAAAGAGCCAGCAGTGATGATGCCTTGACGAAGCCTGCACTGGGAGCCACTGCCTCTGGCTCCCGGATGAGGAAGACTGTGACCACCGGAGCCATCTCAGATCTGGCTGAGGCCCGTCCTCGCAGCACATCTGGTAAGGAACAACAACTCTTGTCTTACATCTTCACATAACCACAGTTTCAGAGACTTGGTTTAATGAAAATAAAAGAATATGATGCTGAAAATCAGGGGAAAGAGCTGTAAACTAACTATAGGTGTGGTCCATGTGTTGAGTCGGGGTTTAGAGATCTAAAGAGAGAGAACTAACCACCTGCGGCCACTAGAGGGCAACAGCGCATCACCAAAGCTGCTGGCGGTAACCAGCAGCTTGAGAGATGCTTCTCTTCACACTCGTCCCTTTTCTTCCTGTGTCTCTTTTCTTCGTGTTCGGTTGGCACTGGTTCGGTGCAGGTGGCGGAGGACAAAAGTTCTCTGGGTTTGGGTCCAGAACTGAGAGACTGTGTGCATTCATAGTCCGCTCCATAGTCAACATCTGTTCAGCCATGTGAACAGCAGGATGTGTTTTGGATGACAAATGAGGAAAAATGAAAGTTTTTCTTCATTCAAGTGCAAGAGCAGAAACATGATGTTGGTGGGGTTATTGGCTGGTGTTTTGATGTCATTTTACTTCAGTGTGTGTGTGTGTGTGTGTGTGTGTGTGTGTTGCTGTGTTTTGGTTTAGATTACAGTGCTGTATTGTGGTCTGTCTTGTTCAGTCACTCACAGAGAAACACCCCAAAGCTCTGAATGAAAGGGGAGCTTCTGTTACTGTGAGCTCTGTTATGACATACACACACTAATACGATGTAAGCACACATTATTTTAGATAAACTCTTGGCTTCCACTCCACCATAGCTGTCGAAGTGAGCGTTTAATTCTAAAAACTATTGGAAACGCACCTTAAATACAAAATCTATTAAGCTGAACAAAGTGTCACAGTCATCCGGGTTATACAAGTTCAGTCAAGTGAAAAAATAAATGTTATTGTGGGTAGAAACATTTTGTTCATCATAACAATAACACAAAAACTTGCGTGTTTCATGGTAAACATGGTGTAATATTTACATTTGGCCAAACATGAAAGGCTCCTTTCATTCAGGGGAAGTGAAGCAGCTGTCACACCTTTATTTGCTTATTGTTTAACTGAATCCCAAGCAGCTGTCTCATACTGAACTATATACAGTGCTTTTTGCTCTGAAGTTCCATATTAAGTTATTATCTGAAGATAGACAGCTTCCACACATTCATCCCCCATCGCCCTCAAGCTCCTCTCCTACCAGCCACACAACCCCCAAAAAAAATCTACCTAGAATTTTTAAACAGGTGTGTTTAATCTTTTAGTTCATATCTATCTGAATGTGTCGTACACATGAAAAGGTCTTAAGATGGTGATTCACGGTGCAGTCTTACTGGAATGACTTGTCATTACTTCCATCTGTGTTCGCTCCAGTTGCTGTCTTTACAGCGAACAAGATTTGTGGTAAGAATTCAGAGAATGAAGATCTACGGCAATAATTCAAGTGACACATTAGAGACGTGTGAAAGGCAGAGGAAGGGTGGAGATACATGAGGGGATGTACCTCAGATAATGATGGTTAGACACGTATGGAACAAATACTGTCGCCTCCTAGGGTTAGAGAACGACACATCGCTGCTGTTGGGAGTTTGTGGTCCTTGACATCCATGTTTGTTTCCTGGTGGTTGAATCGCACACTTTATCTTATCATTTTTCCTCGTCACTGAAAATACTGTGTATCATCAGCAGGATGTTGTTATGATAAACAGATAAACAGATAAATAAAAGCAGCTACACGTCCTCCTGATGGCAGAACTCGTATTAACGTTGGACATGTAAGGCGGTTGATAATGACAGGGATTTGGTTGCAGTAATTGATGTTGTCCGCAGCGCACCCTCAGAAAATGTGAGGGATAACGGTGTTTGTTTACGGAGGCCCGTCGACACAGTGTGTGGATCCTGTGCTCTCGTGAAGTTCCTCTTCAAAGCGGCTGCTGTGTTGTGCTGAAGAAAAGATAATTGAATTCTACTTGACAAAAGACTCCAGAGGAGCTGAGAAACCTGGGCCAAGCGAGGCTCTCGGCTCTTTCACACACAATTAGACCATGGTCAGCTTTCACTGGACTGAGCTCTAATTAACCAAAGTTTGGTTTCTCAAAGTGTTTTCACACCCAAGGACAAGAGCAGGTTCCCACTTTGTGCTGTTCATGACAAATTCATTACTCTAAACGGACTGCGCCTGGCCTACTTCTGTCAGCCAACCAAAGCTGAGGATGGAAATATTGTTAAATAATTACTGGTCAAAAATAAAAACCTTCTTTAAAATGAGTTTTGATGCTGTTACGAAGCTGCGTTTTGTATCAGGCTTATTGGTATCCTGTACGTTAAATCAGCTGACTCTTTATATTGAGCTTGTTTTGCATTTCTTATGCTGATCTCAACAGGATGTTTATCTTCTCTGCAGAAGCTAAATCATCAGTTAGATGGACTATTTGTTTTTCCCGAAAAAAAACATGTTATCCTCTGTGTTTTATCTTCAAACAAAGTTATCCAGCTTTATTCACTTTTATGTTCCCAATTAAAAAATATTGATGATTTGATTTCATCAAACATTTCATTTGAAGTAAGTAACTTACTTCATATTTTTATATATATATATATATATATATATATATATAGAACACTTAAACCCTCAATCGTGTACTAACAGCTGTATCTTGTCCTACTGTAAGAGTGGTGCCGCAGCTCCACGTGAGGTTCCCACCAGGTCGTCCACCTGGTAAAGTGCATGTCAAGACTTATGAAGACAGACAATGAGTGGATATGTCAAACAGGTCATAAAAAAACAAGTCAAGGAGCAAGTGGAAAATCAGATCAGACACCTGAGAGAGCAGTGACGGTTAACCACGCATGCAAGCACCGACGATCATCATTCAACCTGCTGCCCTCAGCTCTAAGTCACTGCGCCTGCCCCGAGAGCTCGGCTGGAATATCCTCACAGGGGAAATGTCATGATTTGAATATAGATTGGGGTGGTGGTCTGTGGTATTTTGAACTCTTTGAGATGTCGTGCTCCAAAAAAATATCTTGAGTTGTCTGCGTTTATCGACGCAGAAGAGAAGAAAAAACATCTCCCAAATCCCAGATTAACATGTTCACAGGAGTCCTGAGACGTGTCTTCAGGCTTGTCTCAGAGATATTGTCACCCAACAGGTTGGTCATAAACAGATGCGCTTCTCCCTAGTTGATATATGACATTACACAGTGACAAGAAGCAATCAGGACTCACTGGGCTCAGAGGCACAGTCATCATACCTGACAGGCAGTAATTGAGTCTTTTCTCAGAGGCCATTAAAGAACATTCTGTGACCAGACCGGATGCATGACAGGATCGTTACTGAGCGGCGAAATCACGACTTACTGAAGTTGTATGGAGGGAGAAAAATCATCAAGCATCTTTTGTCCTTTACAAACGATGCACTTGAATGAATGTCATCTTGTTATGAACTGTAATTGTACCCACATCCCATTGAGCGAATCAGTGCTAATTAAACGTAGGAATGAGGACTGCAGTGGGGAGATGCAGCATTCGTTTGATCAGAACTGGGTCAGATGAGCGTGAGATGCTGTGCATGCGTAGAAAATCAAAGAAACAAACAATAAAGATGATATTTCTGCTAACTAGTATAATTTTGAAAATACCGCAGCACTGTGAGTTTAGTGCAGCAGTCGGTCTCCTGTCGTGAAGCTGATCAGTGGTTTCCTTTTTCTCTGGATGAAATCAACCAAATTTGTCCATAAACTGCCATTTTTTCATCATCTCTGAAAATATTTTTGCAATACCGTCTCATCTTCAACTAAATATCAGCTATGAGCTTTGTAATGCAAATGACAGACGTTACTGTAGTCACTGTTTTTGTGTGAGAAAAGGCTTTTGTCCTCCTAAACATTAAAACAGAGCTGGACGATATCCAAGAAAAATCATATCATTATTTTTGGCAGATTTTTTGCAATTGCGATATGAGTCATAATTATAGTGGGAATGGTCATTTTTGCATTTTACTTTCTCTGGAAAAAGAAAATATGATAATGATGATGATGATGTGATTGTTGTTGGGTCTTGTACCAAATATTTTTCTTGCTGTGATTCGTAGGACGAAGCTTCACTGACGGTCTTTCAAAGAACTGCAGCTCCTGCGATTTGGATATTGCACTTGGCCGTTTTGCGATTATGATTAATTGAATATAAAAAAAAACAATATTCAAGCAGAGTAACTATACTTGCATTAGGCGCCAAAGAACGCAATAACATTAAAACGGCAACACACACACACAGTATTGGCTAAAGGTGTCCGGTCCGACCCCACCCTCGCCTGCCCTCACAGCATGCCGTGCTAATGAGTCAAAACTGTTATTTTTGCTAATGGAGTCTTGCTCCTATCCCAGTTGGCGCTTTACCAACTCTACCGCGCTGTCAGACAACGGGTTAAAACCCAGCCTCATCCTGATGACTTATTTAAAACGCCTCATCAATAATTCAGTAAAGCTTTCACTTGGAGAGGAGTCCCTGTGGAGAGAGCAAGGGGAAGAGACAGAAGGAGATAAGACTGTCCTGCTCTATAAATAACAAGCCCAGTAGGGGCGACTGCAGGGCATAACTTTATGAACAGCCACTTCAGTGACAGACCTTCACCTTCGTTACATCAGTGCTGTCACGCTGATCGTTGATAGGAGTGTAAAGCTTAACGTGAACATCCTTCAGCGAGTCGTTTCTGTGTTGGTTTCTCTTAAATGAATAGATATTCAGATTGCACTGCTCCGCCTCTGCTGATACAAGTGTCTGATACTAAATCCAGCTGGGTTATTGGAGGTTTGTAGCTTTCGCCCTGTTTCATAGAATATTCCATGATCTGTCAGAGAATATTTGGCAGCAGCTAGTATCACTTTCTGCGTCCTGGTAAAGAACAAACATGTTGAGTGTGTTGAGTGTTTGCACATTTGAAAAGAGCTGTCAGTGTGTTTCTGCTGCACGGTGTCATTCTGCTGAGTGACACGTGCCAGTGTAATACACTTCATAA